ATCTTAAAAACTTTATTCTTTTTTCTGTATTTTGTATTTTCTTGTATTTTTATTTTTTTGTTTTTGTGTAATTCTTGTACTCTTTGAAACTTTAATAAATATTATTTAAAAAAAAAAAAAAAAAGATTAACTGCCGAGGACACAGAACGTTCTACCTGGGGAGCAGGTGCTTACCCAGCGGCATGATGGAGAGGTATTTGCCTCGGAACTTGCTGGCAATGGTGATTTCCTGCCACAGTGTCCAGCCTCGCTTGGAATAGACATGATGGGCCGCGGCCGGAGGGTGATGACTCACCTGGAGTGAGGGGAGATCCAAGGAGAAACAAACCCCAATGGTGTTAGGTCTAAGTGGTTGGCAAAAGAGTTCAGCAGGCCCACAACTTATGCAAGGGTTATGTTCCAGGGGTCAGTGCACAAAGTCAACATTGCATGAAGTCAGAAGGATCCCTGGAACCACTCCCACCATCCGAGATCTCAGAGAGCCCTGTGAGATCTTGTGCAACAGTCCCAGAGCCCTGCAAGCAAGGTATCGGGCTTCAAAAGCTGTTTCCACAAAGGAAAATCCTGTGGATGGCCCTACAAGATCTCACAAGATCTCCGTATCCAACAGTCTCCTGCTCCCTTTCTATTTCTTTATTCACGATCCATCTAAAGTTGCAGTTGCGTAAGAAAGAGAAGCGTTAAGTTGCAGGCCTGCTGTAAACACTAAATGTATTATGAGATAATGGCTGCGAACCCAGTTTTTTTGTTCTGTAAAGTTTCCCTTTCTTTCTTTTCCCTTTTCTGTTTCTTATTGGATTGCTATTTTACTAATACAATAAAGTTCTTTCTTTCTTTTTTTTAATTTTGATTGGAAATTTTATTTACAACCTAACACAAATCCCCCACCCCCCAACACAGAAATCCACCCCCATCAGACATGAACATAACAAACAACAAGCATAATATACAACAATACAAACAATCAAATAAAATACTTCCTTTTTCCTGTTTCTGGCATCCTTATCTACTTCTTATAAGCTGTTTCCTTTATGAATAATTATTAATATTTTTCTAATTATAACTTAAATATCCACAAAGTCTCCTGCAGACATTAATTGAAACAAGTCCAGGTATGAATTTTAGGGCACTGTTTTGTGAAGTATTCTCTGCATTTTCCCCATGCTTTTTGAAATTCTTGTCTAGTGTGGTCTCTAATTGCTTCTGTTAATCTAGCCAGTTCAATATACTCAAACAGTTTGTCTTGCCATTCCATTTTTGTTGGCACAATTTCTTTTTTCCAGTTTTTAGCAATTAGGATCCTTGCCGCTCCTGTGGCATAGAGGAATATATTCTAATCTTCTCTTGCTATACCTGCGGCCATTATCCCTAGTAGAAAAGCTTCTGTATTTTTTTTAAAGTTATACTTAAACATTTTTTTAAGCTCGTCATATACTATGTATAGTATAGTACACAAGGGACCCCTGACCATTAGGTCCAGTCGTGACCGACTCTGGGGTTGCAGCGCTCATCTCGCTTTATTGGCCGAGGGAGCCAGCGTACAGCTTCCGGGTCATGTGGCCAGCATGACTAAGCCGCTTCTGGCGAACCAGAGCAGCGCACGGAAATGCCGTTTACCTTCCCGCCGGAGCGGTACCTATTTATCTACAGTGGTGCCCCGCAAGACGAATGCCTCGCAAGACAGAAAACCCGCTAGACGAAAGGGTTTTCCGTTTTGGAGGTGCTTCGGAAAACAAATTTCCTATGTGCCTGCTTCGCAAGACGAAAATGTCTTGCGAGTTCCTGCGGGGTTTTTTTCCTTTCCCCCCCTTTTTCCCAAGCTGCTAAACCGCTTATCAGCTGATCGGCTAAGCCGCTTAACAGCTGATCGCTAAGCCGCTTATCAGCTGATCGTTAAGACGCTTAACAGCTGATCGCTAAGCCGCTTATCAGCTGAGCCCGCTAAGCCCGCTAAGCCGCTAATACTGTAGCGCTAATCCGCTAAACCGCTAATGGGCTTGCTTCGCAAGACGAAAAAACCCGCAAGACGAAGAGACTCGCGGAATGGATTCTTTTCGTCTTGCGAGGCACCACTGTACTTGCACTTTGACATGCTTTCGAACTGCTAGGTTGGCAGGAGCTGGGACCGAGCAACGGGAGCTCACCCCGTCGTGGGGATTCAAACTGCCGACCTTCTGATCGGCAAGTCCTAGGCTCTGTGGTTTAACCCACAGCGCCACCCGTGTCCCTATAGTATAATACATAGTATACAATAAAGTTCTGAACATTTAAAAAGGAACAAATGAAACAACGGATGCGAGTAATCTGGGTCTGAGCTGGGAGAGAATGGCAGGCCCATCCACGGCCAAGCAGAGGATGTCAACCCAGGTCTCCGTGGCCCAAGCCCCATGTGGGCCCACCCCACAACGGCACACCAGCTCCCCTCCCCTTTTCCTCACCTGCTCGCAAAGAGAGCGAAAACCCAGCTCATCTAGCCGGTCCAGCTCATAGGTCTCGCCCAGGAGTGGATTGAATGGCTTCGCTGTCCGGTGGACTGTCGTCGAGTAGGAAGACACGGAGAAAGCAGCCACAAAGCACATCTGCTCAATGGAGCTCTCGCACTTGACGGCTTTGTCAAGCAGTTCATGGTACTCGAGGTCCTCTGTCAGTCTCTGCAGCATGGATAGCGGCTCATTGAAGTTCACCTGCAGAAAGCCAGAGAGGTTGGTTGCTAACCCAAGGGGAGGAGAAGGGAATCACTCTCTTTCTATCTCATTTTTTATTATTATTTGAAGGCACTTATATACCACTTCGGTCCCAGCGCCTGCCAACCTAGCAGTTCGAAAGCACCCCTGGGTGCAAGTAGATAAATAGGGACCGCTTACCAGTGGGAAGGTAAACGTTCCGTGTGCTGCACTGGCTCGCCAGATGCAGCTTGTCACGCTGGCCACGTGACCCGGAAGTGTCTGCGGACAGCGCTGGCTCCTGGCCTCTAGAGTGAGATGAGCGCACAACCCTAGAGTCTGGCAAGACTGGCCCGAACGGGCAGGGGTACCTTTACCTTTATATACCACTTAGTATTTCAAAAATCTCCACGCAGCAGTAAGGGAGCAGACACCTTATAATCCAGTTCTATTGGATCGCCCCCTGCAGAATGCAAACCCTGTGATGTTTGCTGAAAGCCAGTGAGAAAAAGAGGACTCCCATGAGTGGTCTGGGCTGCTTTTGCAAGTTGGGACAGGAGGGGTGGAAATCTATCCGCCATCACACACACACACACACACACACACACACAACCATAGAATTGTAGAGTTGGAAGGGACCATGAGGATCATCGAGTCCAACCTCCTGCAATGCAGGGATCTTTTTGCCCAACCTGGGGCTCAAACCCACAACCCTGAGACTACGAGGCTCATGTTCTACCGACTGAGCTATTCAGCTGTTTAAATGTCCTCGAGCAACCACTCCCAAAGGCTTCCAGATGATCTCCTTTGCTGTACGAAGAGGAAACTGCCTCTGCTTTTGGGGGCTGCAAATGGGGAGAGAGAGAGAGAGCTGTTGCGCTCAAGTCCTGCTTGCAGGCTTTCTTCCCAAGAGGCACCTGGCTGGCCACTGTGGGAAGATGATGCTGGACTAGATGGGCCCTTGGCCTGATCCTGCTACTGGACTCTTCTGTTGTTATTTATTAGGCAAGAAGGGATATATCAGGCATAGGCAAAGTCAGCTCTCCAGATGTTTTGGGACAACAACTCCCATCATCCCCAGCTAACAGGACCAGTGGGCAGGGATGATGGGAATTGTAGTCTCAAAACATCTGGAGGGCTGACTTTGCCTATGCCTGGGATATATGGATGGGGAAACAGCAAGCATCTCTCTATTTAAAAAAAAAAACGGGAGGGGAGTGAATGTTACGCTGCAGCTGAGCGAGTATGATTAGCAACTTGGGTGGGAAACCCATAAAGGAGCATGTAATATATATGTATATATAATTGCAAGTGGTATGTGTCTGTATCTGAAGTCCTTTGTCATCCACACAAAAAGCTCCCCACGAAGGCGGAAGATTTACCGTCATGCCAAAACGATATTACATTTCCAAGCCTCTCCCAGTGTGGCTTTTCTATGTGAACTTTAATCTCTTTGCTGCCACAGGAGCGGCAATGACTGATTTAAAGGCCCCACCGGATCGTTCCATTTGGCCCACTGCTGCAATTTTACGGATTGTGTGTATTGGATGCAGGGATTATTTATACATTGCAGGGCCTCTGTGTCCTTCGCCAGGGGCACGTTCCTGCGTAATTGAAGGGGAAAGACTCCCTGTTGACTCAAAGGGGGAGTGGAGACACTGTACAAAGACCAGGCTCTGCTGTGAGCAAACCCCCCACCCCACCCCTCTTTCTCTGCTACCCACTGGGGTTGGGAGGGAAGGAAAGGGCCTAAGACAAGCATAGGCAAACTCAGGCCTCCAGATGGACCAGTGGTCCAGGGATGATGGGAGTTGTAGTCCCAAAACATCTGGAGGCCCGAGTTTGCCTATGTCTGGCCTAAGATTTTGGAACAGCAAGACCCTCTGCAGCAAAAGGGGGAAATGCTGGTGTTAGATACTCAAGGCTAAAGCAGATCCCCTTCACTGAGAGTGGGACGCTGGGGGAAAGAGGCGAACATCTCCATCGTTCTGCCCGAACACTGGGGTCCAGCGCCAAGGGCCTTCTGGTGGTTGCCTCGCTGCGAGAAGCCAAGTTACAGGGAACCAGGCAGAGGGCCTTCTCGGTAGTAGCACCAGCCCCGTGGAACTCCCTCCCACCAGATGTCAAAGAGAAAAATAACTACCAAACTTTTAGAAGACATCTGAAGGCAGCCCTGTTTAGGGAAGCTTTTAATGTTTAATAGGTTATTGTATTTTGGTGTTTTGTTGGAAGCCGCCCAGAGTGGCTGGGGAAACCCAGCCAGATGGGTGGGGTATAAATAAATTATTATTATTATTATTATTATTATTATTATTATACCTGTCTGTGTTGGGGAAAGGCTGTAGCTCAGTGGAAAAGCATCTGCTTCCCATGCAGAAGGTCCCAGGTTCAATCCCCAGGGAGGGTTGGGAATCTCCTCTGCCTAAAGAGGCACTGCCAGTCAGTGCAGACTGCCCTAAGTTAGACGGACCAATTGTCTGACTTCAGTAAAAGGCAGCTTCCAATATTCCTACAGGGACTGAGATAACCAGGAGGTGTGAAGGCCTACTTTATTAAATTTAAATGTGCTTCATTTGTGTTGAACTTTAAAAAATGCACAAGGATATCTGCACCTGAGTTGAGCATTGGGGATTCCATTTTGACCATTGTGGGATAGATTTTCTCACCTGCCTTGCCCCACCGTCCAACCCCTGGACCTTTCTAAATGAATTTCTTAATGGAATACTTGGACTTGACCTATTGGTAAGCTGTATGTATATGTCAAATGAACTGTTTAAACTTTGTGTTTCTCAAACTCAGGTCTCTGACTGTTGTTGGACTACAGTTCCCATCATCCCTAGCTCAAGGATGATGGGAACTGTAGTCCAACAACAGCTGGAGATTCTACTTTGAGAAACACTGGTTCAACTGCTGATTATTAATTTTTTAGTGTTACATTGCAGGAACATCATATGTCCTATTATGTATTGTTATTGTGTAGACATTTATTTATTTTAATGAGAACTGCTTTAGGCACAGATTTACTTGTGAGAAATGCAGGCTATAAATATACTGACTATGAGAATCTGCAAAGGGAAGAACTGCCAGAGCATCTCTGCTACGGAGAGCATCGGCAGCAGCATCTGCCCTGCGTGGGCTCAATCAGGAAGCAGCTCTGGAAATGTAACAAGCAAGCATTCAATTACTTCCTGATTAAACATATCTGATTGTTTCAAAAGCAGGCGCTGCCAGTGGCTTGTGTGCTGCTGGGCCGCTGCCAACCCCGGCTAGCTGTCCAGGCACTCCTGAGCAGAGAATGTAGGTGGCTTTCTTGCCTTTGAAGGCAGAGTTTAAACCTTCCCTCTCCCCACCACCAACTCCCCACAACAGGAACGGACTTGCTCAGCCACACAAGCCACAAATCTTCGCCACTACCGGCCAACTGGGTTCCTGTGGCCACAACCAGCCTTGTCACTAATGGGAAAACAAAAGGCTGGGATGTGAAACTGCTTTAGCCCTTTTTCTGTTGCCAAAGGTCCCATTCTCTCTCTCTCTTTTCTCTCTCTCTCTCTCTGCTTGCTACCTCATAGGACCACTTGTAAGCAGCATTAAATGAGCCTTTGCATCTAACAATTGGGTTTCTTGAAATGCCAGTAAGGGAGAAGTGGGTGTTGCAGGGGAGGGGGCTGATAAATTAACAGGATGGGAGCAAATATGAAGGTGGAATTTAACCTCTTTCTCCCCTGCTGCAACCCTGAAACTAGCACAGTGGTACCTCCGGTTGCAGATGGGATCCATTCTGGAGGTCCGGCCGGATCTCAAGTTTTTGCAACCAGAGAGACCACTTCTGTGCATGTGTGTGCAGCAGTAGAGCACTTCTGCACATGCGGCAAAAACCCGGAAATACATTTCTGGGTTTGCCGCTTACATATCCTGAAGTTTATGTAACCGGAGGGATATGTAAGCGGAGGTACAACTATATTTTGTTTCAGGGGAAGTGAGGAGTAGAGATGGATTCCTCTATCGGTGCCATTCAAAGCAGATTGCTGTCAAAGAGCCTAAGTGTTTGGGAAATCTCCCTGACTTAGCCAGCGAGATGGTGATTGCTTATCCCCGCTTCCCCCTAAGGTCCCAGGGCAAGTCGCAAAAATCGCAATGTTAAAAGCAGTTTGAAACGACTTACTGTAACAGGAATAAGGTGGATCCAAAAAGTATACAACTCAAGTGTCAGATTTCAGGGTAAAGAGGAGCACCTCCAACAGATGCTCAACTGGTTGGACTTAATACAAAAAAACCCCCCTTATCGCACTGTGTGTGTAGGAAATAGCATACTGTACGAAGGTAAAGTTCGCATCAATTTCTCTTCCCACTTTTATCTCTGGCCCCACCCAACACTGGCATGCGGCCCCCGGGAAGGCCACCCAGAAAGAGAACGTGACCTGGAAATGCCCCACCCCCACCCCCGGAACCAGAGCATGGGGCAGTGGGGAATCACATACAGGCATGGGAATCTTGGACAGTTCTTTGCCAATGCAGTTCTTCATTATGCTCCAGAGGTTAAGGCTGTAGTTGGGCTTGTCCGGGACCCGAGTCCGCCTCTTCTTCTTGTGAACGCCATCTTTGCTTGAACCGTCATAGCTGGCTTGGTGAGAGCTGTCGAACACCTGGGGAGGAAGAAGAGCAGGAGGGAGAGTTCAAGGGGCCGGTCAGCCAGCAACACACCTTGAGACTTTCAGCTCCCCGCCAACCTCTGCATACGGGAAAGTGATCTCCCCAGCAGCCCAAAATCGCAACGGCTGCTGTCTTTAATTCAGCTTGCTAATTTTAGCTGCTTGGCTGTGCTTTTATATGCTTGCCCCAGAATGGCAAAGGCTAGCAGCTGATACAAATAAATGTCTATCATATTGATAAAGGAGCACCTCCACCCCCATTGTTCAGCCCCTACACTGAGATCCAGCATTGAGGGCCTTCAGGCAGTTCCCTTCACTGTGTGAAGTGAAGTTTACAGGGAACCAGGCAGAGGGCCTTCTTGGTAGTGGCACCTCCCCTGTGGAAAGCCCTCCCATCAAAAGTCAAGAAGATAAAGAACTACACCAATTTGAGAAGACATCTGAAGGCGGCCCTGTATGAGGAAGTCTTTAATGTTGTTGTGTTTTTAATATTTTGTAGGGAGCCACCCAGGGTGGCTGGGGCAACCCAATCAGATGAGCGGGGTACAAATAATAAAATTATTATTATTATGGGGAGGAAGGTATTGCAGGTGGGTGGGGGGTGTTGGCAGGCCAATGACAAGCATAGGAAGCTCATTGTGACTGGAAGTGGTTCTCTGGGATTTCAAATAAGGCTTCTCTTCCAGAAAAGCAGAAGCTCTGCCCCATCAGTGAGCCATAACCCCTTCCTTAGGACATGTATGGTGCCACCAAGGGGGTGGGGTGGAAATTCCCATTTCAAACTTTGCAAAATGCACTTACGTTGTCGTCCAGGTTCCAGCCCTCCCCTCGGCCTTCGCTGGTCCCGCTAATGTTGCTCCCGGCACGCCTGCAGAGAAAACGCAGGGGGCAGCGGTGGGTGAGGCGGCGCACAGAAGCCCGGAGCCGCGAGCGAGAGTTACCCATCCACAATGGAAGCCTCTGCTGCAGAACATGCCCTTGAGAGGGAGTGTCACAAATGGGCGGGTTCTGATATGCAAATGCACGGCTTCACATTCCTACAAAGCCAGCCTGCTAGCCAGGTTGTCCAAAGCCCCAAAGGCAAGATTTTCTGGACCAGGCAGGTGAGAAGAGTGAACTGGGCACAGGAGCAGAAGAAGAGGCTGCTGGATCAGGCCAGTGGTCCATCTAGTCCAACATCCTGTTCTCACAGTGGCCAACCAGATGCCCCAATGGGAAACCCACAAGCAGGATTCGAACACAAGAGCCCTCTTCTCTCCCGAGGTTCCCAGCAACTGGTATTCAGAAACATTGATGCCTCTCTGACTGTGGAGGCAGAGCATAGCCATTCTGGTATCCCTCTCCTCCACGAATCTGCCCAATCCTCTTTTAAAGCATTCAAGTTGGTGGTCCTCACTGCCTCATGTGGCAGTGAGTTCCACGGTTTTTTAAAAAAAGAAATTTCTTTTATCTGCTCTTTCACTGAATAGGTTGGAGGCACTGAAAGAAAGGTGGTTTCTTTCCCCCACTTCAAGTTGAATGCAACTGGCCCACTCATTAGGGGTGGCCTTCTAAGCATCTAATGAGAAGCCAAACTTGTCTGCTGAAAATGGGCAAGATCTAAAAGAGGCCTGCTATCCATTGCCAAGGGCTCCAAAGAGAGGAAATGGCCTCTTTCACACAGCCTATTTGTTTTGCATTCATCCTGATCCGCCTGCACAAAGCTTGCGCAGAGGTTAGAATAATAGAATCACAGAATTGTAGAATTGGAAGGGAACCCGAGGGTCATCTAGTCCAGCCCCCTGCAATGCAGGAATCTCAGCTAAAGCATCCGTGACAGATGGCCATTCAACTTCTGCTTAAAAATCTCCAAGGAAGGAGAGTCCACAGCCTCCTGAGGGAGACCTTGTTCCACTGTCAAACAGCTCTTACTATCAAAAAGTTCTTCCTGATGTTTAGTCAGAATCTCCTTTCTTGAAGCTGTTGGTTCGAGTCCTACCCTCCAGAGCAGGAGAAAACAAGCTTGCTCCCTCTTCCACATGACAGCCCTTTGAGATTTGAAGATGGCTGTCATATCTCCTCTCGGTCTCTTTTCCAGGCTAAACATACCTAGCTCCTTCAACCATTCCTCAGCAGGCTTGGTTTCCAGACCTTGATCAATCTGGTAGATTACAGGTGAAATTTGGAAAATTAGAATATCGTGGAAAAGTTCATTTATTTCAGTAATTCAACTTAAAAGGTGAAACTAATATATGAGATAGACTCATGACATGCAAAGTGCAATATTGCTCTATTTGCAGTCCTTGTTTTGCCGATTTCATTTAATATTCTAATTTTCTGAGATTTTCATCAGCTGTACGCCACGATCATCACAATTATAACAAATAAAGGCTTGACATATCTTGCTTTGCATGTCATGAGTCATGCAATATATCATATATTAGTTTCACCTTTTAAGTTGAATTACTGAAATAAATGAACTTTTCCACGATATTCTAATTTTCCGAGTTTCACCTGTATATCTACTCTCAAACATTTACTCTGATTTGTTTGTGGGCAGGTTATACAACAACAGTCCTCCATTCTTATTTGCTTGGGGGCTGCTTATGCAACTTCCCGCCAATCACACGTCCATTCCAACTCTTTTGAATGCACTTCCCTGTCACTTCCCTAACAGCAGACGGTCAGTTTCTTTCTTCTTCTTTTTATAGTGGATTTTGTTATGCTAGGGTTTCCGACCGCCTGGAGGCTCCCAGGGAGCAGGTGCCATACCTACCGGT